GGGATTTTTCTCACTAAACGTGCTCTATTTCTATATGGATCCCACTAAAAACCCAGGTGAAACACATGAAATTCCACCTGAGCATAAGAAAACACTTGTTTTACTGCGAGGGCTGTTGAACACTGGCATAGGTGGCCCAGAGAGGCTGTAGGGTCTCCCTCCCTGGGGTCAGTCAAAGTCCAGCTGGACACAGTCCTGGGCAGCCTGTTCTGGCTGACCACGCTTGAGCAGAGGGGTGGACTAGACGATCTGGAGATGTTGTTCTGCACCTCCACAATTTTGTGACTGATTCTGTGAAGAGCTCAGAGGCAGAGGAAGCTGGCCATAGGGTGCTGGAGGTGAGAGAAGGGAACAGGTCCCTTCAATTATGTAGCTGTTCCATTTCCAAATACATAACAAACAGAGTAACACTCTACATAGAACTACAGAGTGGGATGTTGATAAAATACTCTTAAACCAGGTGTCACAGGAAGAGACTTGAGGTTTGCACTAGGCTGTGAAGCAGTATTCAGCTTTGTAGCAGATGTGCCTCCCGTAAGAGCATGCTGCACGTTGGACAATAGAAAGCTGGTGCTCTGTAGACTTCAAGGAGCTTCGTCATGAGGGGTAATCTGAGAGGATAGAGGGTGACTTCAAGCAAAATGGGCTTTTTTTTTTGCCATCCTTCCTCTTGTGAGCAGAAGGAAAAGGACACCAAATATCTTAAAGGTACAAATGATAAGCTCGAAGAGGTGAAGAGATTTCTCTTAAGAAACAGGGGCATCACTGCTAGGATCAACTCTTCCATCCTTGTAATATGCTGTAATGCATTCATTGAGTTTTTTGTTCACCTTACATTTTAAACAACTCTAAAATGAGTGTCTGCATCCCAAATTTACAGATGGGTGAACTGAAGCACAGCATCAGTGTGAGTTACAGGATTAGGTAGCAGTCCAGTGAAAAGAGTTCTAGTGGAAATGCATAGTAGGCTGCTTTTCGAGGACTCTCACCGATGGTGGGTGCTCCGACAGCCAAGGGAGAAGCTTCTGAGGAGGCATTATTTCCTCTCTACCCCCGTCCAAAATAAGTGAGATTAGAACTGCAGAAAAATTATTTCAGTTTTATGCAGTCTACCTCCTCTGTGACTGGCATTGCACTTGTTCTCAGGTCTAAATCTGTGCTAGATTTGCTTCCGTTGTATGTTGATCTCCATCTGAGCAACATGATCTTCTTGAAATACTTCATGGTGTTATTTTTTACAGTTATGAAACACATGGTGTTTATCATGCTGTTGCTCATAGCAATGCATTCAACAATGTAAAAAGCAGTAAGGTAATGCTTCTCTTTCACAAAGATGGTGGGGAAAAAGTCACGGACAATTGTGAAGCCGTAGAAGGGTGCCCAGCAGAGAACATAGGCAGTCAGGATGCACATCAGTACCATAACGGTTTTCCTTCTGCATCGAAGCCTCTTTCTGATCTGTTCCGTCTGAAATCCTGGTACGGTTTTAAACCAGAGCTCCCGAGAGATCCTGGCATAACACAAGGTCATCGTAATCACAGGTGCAACAAATTCGATACAGAAGATGAAGAGGAAGTACGATTTGTAGTACATCTGCTGGTCAACTGTCCAAATTTGGCCACAGAAAATTTTCTCCTGGTTTTTCACTATAAATAAGACTGTTTCGGTAGCAAAGTATGCAGATGGGATAGCTACAAGTATGGAGACGATCCAGACTAAGGCAATTAGGAAGGTTGCTGTTTGATAATTCATGCGGGGTTTCAGCGGGTGAACGATGGCCAGATACCTAGAACAGACAAAGACGTTCAGTATTAAGAAGTCTGCAAACACTCAGAACACACCTGAAAATACAAGTGGACAGAAGGAAATTGCTGTCATTGTTAATGAGAGAGCCTGACAAATTTGTCTGTGAGGAGAGTTAAGAAAATTTTCCAAAGGAGCAGCCTAGAGCTGAGTTCCTAAATCTAGGCAGAAGCTCTGGAGCAAGTGGCTGAAGGGTTTGTTAGGACAGCGGGCACTTGGCAGTCTGAAAATCTGAGTGTACTTTAGGGTGCCTGAGGAGGGTTTTAAGCCCTCGATCTCCCTCTTTTTAACAGGAAACTTTTCCTTTTTAACACAGGTCACGTGTCTGGGAGTTACGGAAAGATGGGAAGAGGAGAAAGAGAGGGAATATTCCTTTTACTGGCAAATATGTTTGCAGGACCTAGCACAATACGCAGGTTACGTCGCATCCGGGACATGCCGTGATACAGCATCTGGAAGTTCTTTGCTGGATGGCACACGTTCAGGCGGGAGTTTGAAACGTGCAGGAAAATGTACCTAGTCAGGTGCTGGTAAAAAGACAAACATGTAGCAGCAGGAAAATGTTTTCCCTAGGAGATAACTATTTAAGTATACCTTTTTAACCAAGAGGTCAAACATACCTAGCAGTGTTTCTGTATTTCCTTGATTATTCCATGGGGTGCAAAGAGCTGACGCTGGTTACAGGTGAGCATGTTTCCAAGCCACCGACAAAGGACTGTGTATCCAGTCTCTGCCCATGCAAAGTTTTGTTTCATCTGCTGGAGGTGACTATTGCTAATTAATCCTAAATAGGCTGTGTTAAGTAATATGCCAAACTGTGCGACTTGAGTTCAGGAGTTTGCGCTCCCCATGACTGTAAAGCTGCGAGGTACACGGCAGTGATTCACAGAGAAGCGTGGAGAAATGGAAGTGCATTGCTTGCAAGATCCATCAATTGCCCTCGATTCAGTTAAAAAGGGGCCAGGACCAAATGGCATCTGCTCTGGGGTTTCTTGTTCGGTTGGAGTTGGTGTGCGCGTATTTTTTAAGAAGCTATAGGTGTAAGAGGCCTATATCAGAGTGCACGGACCCAGAAAGATTAGGGTATTTCTGCTAAAAGGAGATTTTTATCAGAGACGCTCCAGAGCTCCCAGTACAATTGTATTTAACACAAAGGATTGTTTCAAAAAGTGGAATTTCTCATTCATTCAGAGGCTTTTCTGTCTGTATATATTCTATACAGGGAAAGCATCCACAGGATATATTCATTGTAAAACAGAACGGGAAGTCAGTGGTGCTTTTCATCAGCCAGCTCTTGGAAGCAGATGAATTGTTCATTGCTCTTAATAGTGCAGGCTAGATGTCAGGGGACAGCAGATCACTTGGCCTCACTGTGGAGCTGATAAATGAATATTTTTAGATCGGGTCCTGTGGAAAGAAGATTGAGGGATAATGGATGTGTGTGCATATGTGCTCAGCAGCACGTTTGGCTGGATGGGGTAAATCTCTACAAGAGAGTCAGGAGGGAGTGTTTGTGGTGGATTTTCCTTACGACACGTGAGCTTTTAGTGCTCCGTGGTCCTGGAGCACATGAGTTCAGATGAAACTGCCCTGGAAAATGTGCTCCGAAAGTGTGCATAAAACACACCAAGTGCCCATGGGTGTTCAGTCCAGAGGGCCCATTTAAAGCTGAACCCCCAAAACATTTACAGCATCACATTGGACCCTTGGCTCTCTTCAGATCCTCTCCTTTCACAAAGCATCGTTTTCTAGTGTAGATATGGCCTTAAATATGTGAAATTCCTGTTTCATGTGAATAGGCATCAAGGAAGATGAAAGAGAGCCCTACCTGAAGGAAATCCTGTGGGACAGGCTTACCCTCTCTATGCCGGTAAGCCCTTTTAAATGATCTGAGCACGGGAAGACTTCTGTTAGGAGCCCATTTCTTTTAGCAACCGAGGTCAACGACCCACGTGACACAACCAGCATGGAATGGTTGATTGTTAAATGGACGAGGTTTGCCTCTGTTTACCAGGTCGAAAGCTCACAAAACAAAATAAAGGCAGTGAAACCAAAACAGTGTGTTCTTACAACAAACTTCAGCGACTAATCATTTCCAGGCTTGTTTTTAAAGATGCCTGGGGACATATACTAGAAATCGTCTGATTTCTTAGCAGGCATAGGGGCTCAGTGACCCATTTACTTCAACATGGGATGCGCTGGCAGAGCTTTCCAAGGAAGTTTTTTACAAGTTGAAAAAGGTTAAGTAATAGAAAATGGTAATGCATACATGATAGTGTTTAGGAGCTTAACCCTGAGTCCTCAGCTGCTGTCCAAAGATTTTTTTGTTAGACACTTAAGGGTTTGTTTCATAGGAACTGGATGCCCTTTCCCCCACAACAGGCAAAGCATCTCTGAACTTCCCCAGCATCTTTCCCCAGGCTTGTGCTGACGTCAGTAACGGCCAGATCAGCCGTGCACAGGCTGTATCTGTACAACCATCGGCAGGGTTAACTGCTGCTGAGGTGTCATTTGGGTCAGGGACCAAAAAATGTGCAATATTAGACTAGAGCATAAGATGGCACATGAGAGAAATTGGGAAAAAAATGGAAGGATGGGGGGAATCGTACACTGTGTGTATGCTGAAGATATACCGAGATGGATGTTGTGTTTGTGCAGAAAAGATGATTTGTTGTGATGGCCTTTCTGTAAAGAGGTTACACTGCATTCCCTGGCTTTCTGTGAGTCAGTTGTGTCAGACTTGTGCCAGCCTGAAGCTGATCCTCAGCACCTGGGTTCGTCAGAGTCCGTGGTGCAGAGGCTTATGAACAGGAGTCATAAGAAAGAATACAATTAAATTATGTTGTTTAAATTCCTGGCGTGAGGCGGGCATGGAAATACCTCAGGACTGCAGCATAAAGCAGGTAGTGCAGCAGGTGGATATCGTTACGTCCTGCTTAGCCCATTATGAAGGCTGTACCAAAATCTCTGCTACACTGGGTTGGTATAGCATTTTATCATATTCTGGACAGCGCCATGAGTCCGGGTGCCATACATGACCTGTGAGTCTTTCCTGACTTGCCACTGTGCCATCCTCAGAGAGGTGTGCGTATAGAGAGTATGAGAGGAGTATTTTAATGGAGCGGAGAGTGCTGGCCACACTCACCAAGCATCCACTTCGAGGTTGGAGCATCCAGTCAAAACCTCAGTACTATCAAAGGGTTAATTTAATGATTGTTGGGTTTTCTCAGCAGGCACGACCTGAGAATACCAACTCTATTTTTCAGGCTAGATAGAAGCCTTAGCTTTAGCTCTCTTTCACACCAAAACAAAAACCAGGAAAATACCTTAGAGGGAGAAAGAAATTTCCTGTAAGGCAATAACCCTGTTGGCAACTCACTTGTCAAATTCTGTTTCAACAGTCAACTATTTCTCTTGCTGGAGAGTATCTGCTTCACTGTTTATAGCAAAGGTTAGACTCAGAAAAGCTGTGTAGGCCAGTAGTGAAGGTTCCCTAGAGATGTATGGTTCGGATCAGGATTATATAGTGCTGATGAACACCCTTGTCTCTGGGTGTTTCTGATTTCTCTCTCTCTTTTATTCCTCTTTCCC